GGCATTACACGACCACAAGGAGCTTGGCAAGGTCACTGCATTCCACCTTACACCACTCGGCCACCTACAGCAGCCCTAACACCACTCAACAACTCACAACAGCCCTACACCATTCGGCTMCTGCACACACAGCCCTTYYYWGGGCAACAATGAACCTAGTTCTCTAGGTTCTAATCAGTACTAACTGATTCTTGAAGGGTTCCTACCCAAAAATACCAGCAACACAAAAGGACTAAATAACCAACCTTCCTTTGAGAATATCAGCCAACCATTCACTGCTGAAATCACCTTCCTTGATGAAGAAAACTGTGCGCAGCAGAGAGCAACGAATTGTGATGTCTCAGACCTAGGGCGAACCAGCTCTCTCCATTAACCAACTAGAAACGAAGAGGAGGGTGTCACGAACACAGCTGAGATGCTTTGCAAGCAGAAGCAGGTCATAAACCTTGCTCTGATACCATGTTTTGGAGCAGCTACAGTAGTCCGGACCAGTGAAGAAGGAAGAAGAAGATGAGGAAGAAGACGAGAAAGAGAGAACAGGAGGGTTTAGTCGAACTGATTAGTCTTTCATTCAGTCGACCCCCTTGTGTTTATTAGGTTCTGATTACACTTACAAAGACTAAACTGCCCTCACTTAAGTGTGGGGCGGAGTACTCTAATAAAACAGCCACATAAGCAAAGTACTTAACTGACATAAGATTACTAAATTACCCTTATTCGGCTCACTCTAACAGAAAATATAATAAACATAAAATAATATTTAGATATACATATATACATCTAAAAAATAACTATATATTTATTGATAAAATACATGTTTATACATATATACATATAAAATGATTCAGCCTCCAGGTCGGTTTTTAAAACATTACTCTCTACTAAGATAGCACTACCTTGTAGGATTTAGCATTGTTCACAACTCCAATCTATAGACCGGTAGTGGTCAAGCTCTTTCCATATTGATGTAAAATGTACGTATAGAGACACTTCTCACCTTGTTTGCAAGCTGAAGATTCTACCTATAATTGGTACATCCAAGTATAATGTCTTTGTTCAGTATAAGTTGCCTTAGCTTGCTCCCAAATCTCTCTTGCAGGTTCAGCCCACAAAGTTATTTCTCAAAGGAAAATCAGCCATGAAATCCTGACTTTCCTCTCCCCCCATGAATAATCTCACTACTTTGGACCACTCTAAGTAGGGGTCTCAATGGACCGGTTTTGGATTGGACCCTGTCCAATAAACCAAAATCAATTTGGATGGATTGGATGGACCAACAAGACATTGAATTGGACCAGTCCAGACTTAATGGTCCAAATATTTATTGGATTGGATTGAACCTGGTCCGTCCATAATGAATTTATATTGGATTGGGTAGGATTGAGCCAATATATGGTCCATTGATAGTAGAATTAATCTAAATTAAAACAAATTTGAACAGATTAGACGGTCCAGACATTGACTGAACCGGTCCAAAATATTCGTTGGATTGGATAGGACATGGTCCATTTGTAATGGACTCACATTGGACTGAACCGGATTGGATAAAATCCAGTCCATTTGACACCACACCCCTAACTCTAAGCAGTTCAACCCATCAAGAGGAGCGATGAAAATTGGAAAGTTCATATTCTCCATAATGTCTGCTGATCATAGGATGAGTAGAGGTAACATCCAACACAGCTGAATATTCAATTTCCAAGACAAAAAATACCAAACAATTCCTGAAAATACTTCAATCCATCAATAACACACCAATCAAACAGTCTACATAGACTTCAGTTACTTTGCAAAAGGCCACACCACACTACCAGTCTACATAGACGTATTGGGATAAGCTTTGGATATGGATGAAAATTCAAGATACACATGGATACACTAACAAAAATAAACCTTAAAAAATTTATTAATAGTTTAAACATAAAAAATCATACTATAAATAAGTTATTTAAACATAAAAATCATACTTTAATGGTTTATATAAAGTGTGAGATATCAGGACACAATTGGTAACTGTTGAAGAACTAAATTGTGTATGTATATACCTTAATTTTCACAAAATCAGTATAATTTGTCTTAATATTTATTAGTATATAAATTTTAATAATCAATTTTAGCATTTATCGACAAACATCCACCAAGAAGAGAAAATTTACTCAAGATTCAAGAATCAAAATGAATATGATTTTGACAAGAAAATAGAGTATGGTGTAGTGGTGGACCTATGGTGATTATTGAGAGAGGGAGTAATTATGGAGGTTATTTAGGAATTAATGAGAGATTAGGAATGAGACAAAATTGAATTTGAGAGAGAGGGGGGGGGTTAAATATTAAAAATCATAATGTCTTGGCTGATACACAGAGTATTGGTCCTTACCAGGCAATCCATATGAAAAAGAACGAAACATTGGGTTTTTATGCATTCCGTGTATTGGGCCCTCACTGGAACAATATGTATCAGCCAATATGGCCTGATACGTTGCAAAATTTTAAACCTGGAGTCCACACAGATCATTACAAGACAAACACCGTTCACACAATACCAAGTAATAGATTAAGAGTCCATACAGACCACACTGGTCCTGTAAAACTCCACATTCAATAAGAAAACAGACGGAATTTCAACTATTTTCATGTCTACTCATCAGTACATATACTCCATGTCCTCAGATGGCAAAATTTAAACTTCCACCAACCAGAAAAATGGTTTGAGACTTCTTAGTGATTCAAACAGTTCCTGAAGTGAAATTCTGAACCTATCACACCAACCTGGCTTCATACACACCTCACAGTTATATAGACTGCCCTTGGTACATAATCTAAGTCATACAGACAACACAATCTCACCACTTTATCTGTTTAGATCCTCAACACTCCCATCAACTATCTTCAGTCACCACAACAAATATTTCCTGGTACCACGACCAAGAATAAAGAAGGGAGGGAAAAAAAAGAATGCAGACTAGTCTGAGCACTCCCAAGACTATCTCCCAGCCGCCTGTCAATCCTCTCAATCCAGGTTGAAGAAACAAGCAGTCATTCAGATCTGCCCATAGAAGTGCTCTGATACCATGAAATCAGATCTAAAAGGTGCATGAAGAGAGAGGAGAGAGTAGAAAGAGAAGACAGAATTGAAAAGAATCATAGTAGGTTTGGCAGGACCCACTCTATTATTTTATTAGGGTGACTTAATTAAAGATAAAATTACATATATGGCCCTGTACCACTATCTAGACATATTACAAGTATTAGTAGAATATAGTTTGTAAACGATATTCACATGCACTGAGAGGAAGCAAAAGTAACCTGAGATGCAGCAAGCCACTGAACTATAGTTTTAAGCTCGGGATCTCCCCCAAATGCACCACAACCCCAATTTCCTGTTACAACCCCAATATTTTCTTGAGATTCTGCATACTGACTACTTGGTTCACTGTAAGAATTTTCAATCAATTCTGCACCAGATGCTCCTTTCTCTTGTTCCTCAGAAGTTGAGGGAGTTTCATCCAACTAAGAAAGAAGGTGCAGGGTCAGTAATCAAATAAAGAAACTAAAGATGGAAAGGAGGCCAAGCAAAATCTGAACATATAGCAAATCTACTCCATGCTAGATCATCAAGGCCAACAATAGAAGTAAATCTTCATCCTAAGTTCACTAATGCACATATTTCATTAGTTTGCAAAAGCAAAGATGCATAAGAAATGTCCCTCAGGGTTCTCACCATGGCATTCCCAGGCTTATTATTGACCTCTTTGGCATCCTTGTTAAGATTGTTCGTGCCAGGTGCCTCTTGAAACATTTTCTGATACAGATGACATTTTGATTGATCAAAAAATCCACAGAAGGCCTTATTAGTTTCCCTGTCACAACCAAATACTGCAATAGTTCATTAAAATAGAAAAAGTACGATAGCTCAAAGAGAATTAAATACCATAAGACACTGGTATTAATAGAAGTTTTCATGAACCATCAATGCCTGTAACCTAGCACATCAGCCAGTCTCTGTAAACAGGAAGGATTAGAAAAATTAATCCCCATTAGACTACTTTTAGAAAAGTGGAGTTTGTCCCTTTATTGAACACAACCAACCAGTAAAAATCAGAGAACACCTCCATTATATCTGATTTCAAAATATCCCATCACTCCTGATAAAATAAAATAGAAAACCTATCAGGTCCATGAGCCTTATCCCCATTTAGAGCAAAAACTGCATTCTTCACTTCATCATCCCAAAACTCCCTCTCAATCTAGCTTCTCTATTGTTTGCCAACAAAGAGGGACCATCCCAGCTAACTAAAAAAACCTCCAGTTACTCTCCTTTGAGAAAAGGGAGTTAAAAGAAAGAACAAGAGCTTCAAATCTCTGTTTGATCCTGTTGAGAGTTATATTGTATTTGGCTGTATTTGGGTATATTTATAATATTGTGGGGACCTATATGTATTTGTGGGAGAAAATGGGGGCTTTTGTGTAACTCTGATGCATTTCAGTCTTTTGCTTATTTAAGCAAGTGGTTGTGTGAGATTAGGGTTTGAGGAAGAGTGTGAGTGTGTGTGTGTGAGAGAGAGAGAGAGAGATAGTTGTATTCTCTTGTTCTCAGTGGATATTTTTCTTCTCCTCCTGTGGATGTAGGCTACCAAGCCGAACCACATTAAATCCTCATGTTCTCTCTATTTCTTCTTGTTTTCTCCTTGATGTGCTATTCTATTTTATGTTAGTTGACATGGTATTAGAGCCATTTTATGTTGTTTAACATGGTATCAGAGCGGGTGTTTTGGTTGCTATGAAGGTGTTCTGGTTGTAGCGAAGGTGTTCCGGTTGCTGTGAAGGTGTTCACATTGCTGCAAAGGTGTTCCGGATGCTGTGAAAGTGTTTCAATTGTTGTGAAGGTGTTTGGTTGTTGTGAAGAGTTTAATAGTGGTGTGGTAAGTGATTTTGTGATCTGTGAAGGTGTTCCTTTGTTGCTATTTCATGTTCAGTTGAGGTAGTAGTTGACTACCATGAAATCTCTCCATGTAGTAGTCAACTACTAAGAATAGGATACTGATAGTAGTCGACTGCTACGAAATCTCTTTGTATAGTAGTTGACTACTAGGAACAAGATACTGATAGTACATAGTAGTCGACTACAATGACATCTCTTCGTGTAGTAGTCGATTACTAGCCTCAAAATGCAATTGCTTGTGAGTTGGTGGTGGTGGTTACGTGAATTGACAAACAGGGCTTTGATGCCTCAAGTTATGGTTGTTTATGGGTTTGTGAGTTGAAAAAGGGGCTTTGATGCCTCAAGTAGTGGTTGTTTGTGAGTTGGTGAATTGAAAAAGGGGTTTTGATGCCTCAAGTTGTGGTTGTTTGTGAGTTGAAAAGGGGGCTTTGATGTCTCAAGTTGTGGTTATTTGTGAATTGGTTGAAAAAGAGGCTTTGATGCCTTAAATTGTGGTTGTTTGAGAGTTGGTTGAAAAAGGGGCTTTGATGTCTCAAGTTGTGGTTGGATGTAAGTTGGTTGAAAATAAGGGGCTTTGATGCCTCAAGTTGCGGTTGGTTGTGAGTTGGTTGAAAAAGGTGCTTTGGTGCCTCAAGTTGTGGTTGTTTGTGCGTTGGTAGAAAATGGGCTTTGATGCCTTAAGTTGTGACTACTATTGTTTGTGAATGTGTGAAGCTCCCTTGGTCTTCGAGAAAAGTGTAGTGATGTGATAATTTTTTGTGTATTGGTGAACTGTTGCTTCAAAGGTCCCTTCAACATCTCAAGGTTCACGACTGCTGCTTCAATAGTAAACCTATTTCCATGAAGGTTGCTTCAACATCCTTACTTGCAAACTCAAGCTGACTTTCCCACCGTGAGTTTGAGGAGGCGTGTTGAGAGTTATATTGTATTTGGATGTATTTGGGTATATTTGTAATAGTGTGAGGACATATATGTATTTGTAAGAGAAAAAGGGGCTTCTATGTAATTTTGATGTATTTCGGTCTTTTTCTTATTTAAGAAAGTGGCTGTGTGAGATTAGGACTTGAGGAAGAGTGCAACTGTGTGAGAGAGAAAGAGAGAGAGTTGTATCTCTTGTTCTCGTAGTGGATATTTTTCCTCTCTTCCCGTGTATGTAGGCTACCAAGCCAAACCACATTAAATCCTGGTGTTCTCTCTATTTCTTCTTGTTTTCTCCTTGATGTGCTATTCTTTTTATGTTAGTTGGCATGGTATCAGATCCATTTTATGTGTTGAAATATGTACTATATGCCATGGGCATTTTTGTCTTTTCCTCTTTATTTTTTTGTCTTTGGTCGCCCTAACATATAAATATTAAATCTGGTGCCGCCAGAGTTCTCTCTTGGCTCTCACGTTCTTTTCTTCTTCTTCTTGCTGAAAACATGGTATCAGAGCGGGGCAGTGCTCTGCAAATTCTGTCCTGCTATTCGAAGATCTTCCTTGCTCCTCTGAACTGAGAATGGAAGAGACAGGTGTGAGCTTCATCTGAAGACTGTTCGATTCCAGTTCCTGCCCCTGTTTCTTGGACTGCAACTGATTTGTATGGCACCCAGAGACCAGTGGATGACTGATTGAAGTTCCTTAAAGAGGTCGGTGTTCTCTTTCTGTGTTTCGTTCCCTGCTTCTGGGCTGGGATCGATAGAAACCCCCTGGACTGAATAAGGACAGAAGTCAAAACTGTTTTTTGTGAAGACCCAATAATCTTCATGTTTAAGGAACCTCTGTAGGTCATAAGTGACCTGGTTCGACTGACAAAGTGCAGCAGCCTTCTTTAAATGTGTTTCTGTAGTTCTTATTGCCTTAAGAAGGGGCCTATCAGATCTGTGAATACCTGTGGCATCAAGGCCTGTGCTCTGATCTAGCAGTTTTTTGTTTTAGCTTAGTTGGGAAAAGACTTGAATAAGCTTGTGTGTGCTGCCTTCTTTGACTCCAATGAATTCTGAAGATTCTGCAACTTTGGGAACCACCTCACATCAAGGAGGAATGACTGGTGGTTATGAGACCCTAAATTTTCCTATGTCACCCCCTTGGATGGTAGAAATTATTTAGCTTGGTCCAAGGAGATGCAATTGTACATTACTGCCAGGGGTAAGGCTGGATATATAAATGGGAAAACTAAGGAACCTAAGGCTGGTACTGCTGATTATGATAAGTGGGATCAAGGAAATTGCATGATAATGTCTTGGCTTTTGACCTCAATGCTGCCATCTGTTGAGCAAAATTTCATGTGGGTTGAGACAGCAAAGGAAATTTGGAAGCCAAGGCAACATACTCAGAACAGAGACACTATGCCAGGATTTATCAGCTACAAGCAGAATCTTCGACATGTAAGCAGGGAGAAAGGAACTTGTCGACATATTATTCTGCCCTCGCTTCAGTTTGGAAAGAACTCGACTACTACCAGAACATTGAGTGGGAAAGTGAAAAGGATGCTAAAGCATATAAAAAGTTGGTTTCTTAACAAAGGGTGTTCGCTTTCCTTCTGGGTTTGAATCCTGTGTATGAACCTATTCGTGTTTAGATTTTAGGCAGCAAGGATCTTCCGTTGGTCCAAATGGTTTATGCACTTGTTCAGTCTGAAGAGAGTAGGAAGTCTGCCATGAATCCTCCTGAGGGGGAGATATTGCTCTTGCTGTAAGGGGTAACACTGGGGCACCGAAAAAAGAGGAAAATTAGAAAAAGATGGATGATAAAGACAAAATGTGGTGTACTCATTGCCAAAAACCTAGGCACACCCGGGAAACCGAAATGGGCACAAGAATTGGGTAAGAAATCAACACAAGAACCAAGCAAGAAGTCATACCAGAAGAAGTTTAATTCAGCTCACTTAGCATCTCATGAACATCAGAGTACTTTTCAGGACTATCTCCCTTGTTCTAACCCAAATGAAGATATTATCAATTCCTTCCATGACCACTTAGAGCAATATGGTAGGGCTCTCCGCAATACTAACTCTGGACCCACACCTTCTACTTCTTTTGCCTCCTCTTCAGGTAATTCTGCTTCAACTTTCCATGTGTCTACTGATAACCCAAAATCCCCATGGATCATTGATTCTGGTGCATCCAACCACATGACTGGTAAGTCAACCATGTTTCAAACATATTCTCTTCTCTCTGGGAGAGATAAAGTGAGGCTAGCAGATGGATCCTTCTCCTCCATTGCTGGTCAAGGATCTATATCTCTGCCTTTTGGCCTCTCCTTATCTAATGTCCTACATGTTCCCAAGTTACCTATTAATTTGTTGTCCATTAGTAGTATTACTCATACATTGACTTGCTCAGTAACCTTTCTTCCTCATTCTTGTGTTTTCAGGATTTGGTTACCGAGAGGACGATTGGTAGAGGGAACATGGTGGATGGTCTCTACGTGTTAGAGAACAAAGTCAGTTTTACAGTTTCAAAGTCTTTGAGTCCGTCGAGTAAGAGTCAAATTATTTTATGGCACCACCGTTTGGGCCATGTGCCTTTTGAGAACAAAGTTTTTGTTTCTAGAGTTGTTTAAGTCTTTGTCTGTTAGTGATTTTCAGTGTCAAGTGTGTCAATTAAGTAAACATTGTAGAACCTCATTCCCTTTACGTAATAAAAGATCAGAATTTCCTTTTCACATTGTGTATTCAGATGTGTGGGTACCTGTTAATATTCCAACTAAGTATGGTTACAAGTATTTTATTTCTTTTGTTGATGACTTCTCTCGCTACACTTGCATTTATCCTATGCATTCACGGAAGGAAGTTCCTAAAACTGTGAAAAGCTTTCAGCGTATGGTTTACACCCAATTTCAATCCGAGATCCGAATCTTTCAGTCAAACAATGCCAAGGAATACTTTCATGGAGACCTCACAGATTACTTTTCATCCCACGGCTCTCAACACAGGAG